ACTTTATGTATGACATGCAGACATGAAACCAATAATGCAAGGCAATGTTTGCAGTCCCCCAATAAAAGTTTCAGAAAGGATTGTTTTTCTTTACTGCAAAGCAAGCACATATCCATTAACTAAATTGCTTTATGAAGTTGTAAAAAATTATTTTGGTAAAGCTGGTATTATTCATTTGGGGATTATGTAAAATTAATGAAATTAGTGCTATGAGACAATTATATGTTAAAAAGGAAAATAGTTTCTTACAAATATCAGTAAATCTACAATACAGTGAAGGCACAATACATTCCAGTGAATCTTTTTTTTTTCCTTCAATAGGTTTGTTATACTCAAAATGTACCAGAAACAGGAACAAAAGTATTTTATAAAATAATTAATTTTTATGGGCTATGAGTCCCAAAGGGTTATGTAATCAAAGTGGAAGCAGAAAAGCATAGCTTTGAAAATAATTGGTCATGTCATGACACACTTAACACATGTGCAGGCGTGTCCCCAGAGAAGGCTAGTGAAGTTATTTCATGTATTTAAACTCAGGGATAAGTTGATAAAGAGTTGTAGAGATTTGCTTAGATCACTTGTATCTTTGCTTCTGGAGATATGGGTGGGATATAAATGAAATGGGTAAATGGGAGTTTGGGGCAGCAAATAAGCTTGTGTTCTCTGCCACATCCAAGGGGTCCCTTGCATAAACTTCCTGTCCCAAGAGTTTTGGAAATGGAAGAACAGTGTCCAGCAGAGGGAGTAGTGCTGGTAGCAGGATCTGATTTAGCAAACACCTTCAACTTTATTGGTTTAGAAGGGCCAGCATCTTCCCATTTGTGGGGAGCTAACTGCAGGCTACAAAATCACTATTTTAACCTCAAGCCCATAGAGCTCAAAATTAAGTAGAAGAAACCATACTCATCTGCCTTAATAGTTATTTCACTTTATTTTTATTAAAGTAGCACATGTATGAATTAGGAGATATCAGGGAAGTGCAGATATATATATTTTTCAAAGTTATCTTCAATCAAGAGTAGTTTATTATAATATGTCTTATATTTCTCATATGTTACTATCTTCCCATAGAGTCAATTTTTTTCCTGACAAATTTATGTTTCACTGAAATGTTGAAATAGCTAAGTCTTTATTTATCTGGCTGCAGATTGGTTTTCTTAACTTGGAGATTACCTTTTCTGGTTAATAATAGATCCTTACATTGGCTCTCAAAAAACTCTACAATCTCGAAAAATAATTGTTTTTTCTAAAGGACTAATGAACTTGGCAGTAACAAAAGAACAGAAAATGGAAACATTAAAATGCCTAAGGAAAATGAGACAGGTTTTGATCCCTGTGGGCTGTGATGAGTGGGGACCAACTCGGTGTCTGTACAAGCATCCTGGACTTGAGAGAAAAATGTAGAGGATGCAGTTACAAATGATTGAGAGGAATTCAGCTCTAGGGAGGAAAAAGGGAATTATTTTTGAAAAGCATAGTTTAAAAAGCAGACTTTACAAAGCCATTACTATATTTACAGGTGGATTTGTCATTCATTTAAAGATTCAATAAATATAGATTTGAGTAAAATCTTCCATTTCCATTTCCTATACATTTCATCAAAGGGCACACCTTGGGTAAATTTTGTTGCAAAGACAGTAAAAATTATTAAAAATCATGGGTCATTTGATATTTATTTAAACAGAAGTCCTTGCATAAAATATTCTAAGATATAGATAAACTTGGAAAATTATTGTTCTACATAATTTTGCTTTATAATTTATGTAGAAAATTTGTAGGAATTTTACATACAAAAAGAAATATCCTAAAACCAAAATATTAAGCAAACTAAATGAAAAGCTAAACTAAAATGTACTAATAAGATGATTTTGTAAATCACATCAAAATTATTGATAGCTTTTAATAGACTTATTTTTTTAGAGCAGTTTTAGGTTTATAGAAAAACTGAGCAGAAAGTACAGAGAGTTCCCATATGCACCCTCCCACCTCCACAACAGTTTTCTCTATTAATAATATCTTGCATTAGTGTGGTGAGTTGTTTTTACAGTTGATGAACTAATATTGATATAGTATTAACTATTGTTTAAAGTTTACATTAAAGTTTACACTTTGTGTTGTATCTTCTATGGGTGTTGACAAGTGTATAATGACATGTATCCACTATTGTAGTAGCATACAGATAGTTCCATTGCCCAAAAAATCCACTGTGCTTCACCTAGTCATCCCTTCCCTGACACAACCCCTGATAAACACCGAGCTTTTTACTGTCTCCATAGTTTTGCCTTTTCCAGAATGTCACATATTTACAATCATACTAAGCCTTTTCGGATTAGTTTCTTATACTTAGTAGTACACATTGACTTTTACTTTATCTCTTTTCATGGGCTGATAACTCTTTTTTCTTTTGGTACCAAATAATAATATTCCAATGTCTGGATATCCACAATTTGTTTATCCACCTATTGAAGGACATCTTGGTTGCTTTCAAGTTTTGGCAATTATGAATAAAGCTGCTATAAATATTCGTGTGCAGGTTTTGAATGGACATACATTTTCATTTCATTCATATAAATACCAAGGAGTGTACGATTGCCGAATCATATAGTAAGAGCATGCCTACTTTTAACGAGAAACCACCAGTCTTTCAAAGTGACTGTAGCATTTTGCATTCCTAGCAGCAGTAAATCAGAGTTTCTGTTGCTCAACATCCTTGCCAGCAATTGCCAGTGTTCTGTTTTTTTTTTTGTTTGTTTGTTTTTTTAATTTTTTTTTTGCCATTTTAATAGGTGTGTAGTGGTATCTCATTGCTATTTTAATTTGCAGTTCTCTAATAACATATCATGTTGAGCACTTTTTCATATACCTGTTGGCCATTTGTATGCTCTCTTTTGTGAAATGTCTCCTCAGGTCCTTTGCCCACTTTGTACTTGCATGCCTTCATTAATGAGGTGCTTGTTCTGATCTTTTGTTTAAAAATAATCATTTTAAATTTATAAAACATACACAATAATCAAAAAGAAAGTTTGGAAAAAGAAAAATGCTAAAATCACATTTAATCATACTATGGTTGTTTTTCTATTCTCTTTTTCTGTTATTTTGTTCAAATGCAAAAGGATTTTATGTAATTATTATTATATATGTGCAATTTTATACAGTCCTTTGCAAATATTATAACATATCTTGTAATTATTAATATAATTTGATATAAATAAGTAGATATATTACAATTAACTTAATCATTTCTTTAGGTTACTTCCATTTGTCATGCAATGTTTTTAAAAGCTTTTTTAAAACAAAACAAATTTATAAATCTTTTTTTTTTTTTGTGAGACTCTGTCACTCGGGCTGGAGTGCAATGGTGTGATCACTGCTCACAGTAGCTTCAAACTCCCAGGATCAGGTAATCCTCCTAACTAAACCTCTTGAGTAGCTGGGACTACAGGCGTGTACCACCACACCAAGCTTACTTTTATGATTATTATTATATTTTTGTGGAGACAGAGTCTTACTATGTTTCCCTGACTGATCTCAAACACTGGGCTCAAGCAATCCTCCTGCCTTGGCCACCCAAAGTGCTGGGATTACGGGCACGAGACACTGAACCTGAGCCCTGTAGATTTCTTTTTGAGTTGAAAACTGAATATTCTGCTTACTCTTTTTTTTTTTTTTTTTTTTTTGGTAGATTAAAGTGACCTGTGTTGGAAATGGAGAATTATTTTCTAGATAAACCTAACAAAACATGTTCTATGGACCTGCTGCCTATAAAACCAGAGACTTAAAATATCTTAATATAAACAGGAGATTATAGATAGATATGGATCATTTTAACATGTAATCAAATGCTGACAAGGTTTTGCCCTGGTGGAGCCCCCAACATATGATATTTAATTTGGTGATTGTGAAAACCCAGAAGATAGAAAAGTGTCTTCTAGGAATACAACCCTATCATAAAAGCTCCATGACTAGTCAGTTGTTTGAAGAACTTCTCAAAGGTGGCACAGTTTTGAGCTTTGAAAATTTTAATACGTTCTCTGCGATCCTAGCATTTCTAATTAGACGTTAACATTTCTTATGACTTATCAGAATTCTGTGTTGACAGGGAGCTCTGTAACCACTTTCCTGTACTTGAAGAATGAGGCCAGGAAAGAGGTCTCTGAGCTAAAAGAAGGATTAGGCCAGGAAAAGAGAAAGCATTCAGAGTCAGAGGCTGGTCATTTACTCCATCTCTTCCTTGTTTCTCATTTGTCTTACCAATCCAACAGGAATTTTTGAGAATTAAAGGAAGTACAATATACAAAAGCACCCAGCATCTAATTATCTAAATGTTAGTCTGCTCCTTGGAAAAACTCCTCTAGTTTATGGTTTATTGAAATTCTAATTGTTAAGGTAAGACAATTCTGCAGTATATCTGCATGGTCAGGATTCTATGGGTTACAAGTGATAGGAAAACTCAAGCACTTAAAAAATAACACTAGCCCGAGAAAAACAGGAAATTATTGGCTTATGTCCAGAAGGAACACGTTGTATATAGGACTTCACACACTATTATTGGGGTTGTCTCTTTCCGTCTTCTGACTGTGTCTTACTTTATGTTGTCTTCCTTCTCATGTCCCTAGGAAATGGCAAAGCTAGTTACCAGATGTTCTAGCTTATATTCTACCACCCGAGTAAACTCTGTGCAAATGCCGTATCTCTTCTAACAGTTTCAGCAAAAGCCCCAGATCTGGTATCAATTGGTTTGGCCTGGATCATATTCATATCCTTGATCCAATGGTTGTGGGTCTGATTGGCAGGTCTAGAAGGGGTCCTTGGTGATCTCTGAAGGGGTCAGCCCTACTGGAATTATGTGAAAGGAAAATGTCCCCAAAAGAAAATGATTTGGCAGGCAAAATGACATGTGTGCATTTTGTGGTCCTTTTTAAGGAACATTGCAGGCGGGAAAGACAGTAAAAAAAAAAGAAAAAAAAAATCACATCTATTCTCATTTGTTCTCCCTTAAGGGAATAAAGAACTTCTGAATCAACTGCTCCTGCCACAGGAGTTACACAACAACCAGGCTTGTGGAACAAGAGGAACTGCTACTGTCTTCTTTTTTCATCTTACTACCTGGTCCGATTCTACCTTGTTTTCCTGAATTGTCACTGAGCTTTCTACACAAGTGAGGCTGATGTTTGTAAATCACAGAAAGACCAGTTTATCTGTGGAGGAACCACATAGAGAGTTATTGTTATTTTACACTACGTGAAGGCCAGAGGTAAGCAGGCCAGTACAGTATCTTCATGACTCCATCAGGAACACAGGGGCTTCTGTCTGTTCCTTAGACACTCATAGAATATGGATTTTGTCCTCTTGCACTTTCCCTGAAGATCTCAAGGTATTTTCTCCACTTCCTTCCTTACCTCAGGAAGAGGTAGAAGGCAGAGGGCAGAAGTTGCATGCCAGCTAACTGTCCTCAGAGAGAGGGGTGGGGGCGGCCCTGGCAGCCAGGAGCTGGCCTGGCACTATCAATGGGCCTTGTTGCTAGGAGCTGACCTGGCACTCATGGCTAGGCCTTAGCAACTAAAGAGACAGTGCTAGAGATACCAGAATTATAGTTAGGGTTTGAAGAAAAGGGGTGGAAAAAAACCTTTGACTATTCACAAGTCGGACTAGATTTGACTAACAGTGCACGGCCCAAGTGGACCTCTGTAAATACATTCAAAAAGTTACATTAATTCTCTGTCTAGATTTATGTAAATAGTCTCAGAGAAGGCAATCTGAGACAGCAAATGGCAACTGTGAAATACAGTTTTATTTGCACACAGGAGAACCTAGTTTTGACATTTTCTTAAACAACCAAGATTTATTCTTTAAAAAATTAAATAACACAAGTGATACATAAACACTTATGTACTATAAAACAGTCAAGTATTAAATAATATGAGCATATAGAGTGAACATTACAGTTTCCTTTCCCGTCCTCCACAGTCTTTCCTTACAAGCAGGAACTATTGCTAAAATATTAGTGCATTTGGTAGAGAATTTTCCACTTTACAGTTGCACTCATAATTTTAGTTTCTTGTGTGTGTGTGTGTGTGTGTGTCTGTGCGTGTGCATGTGTGTGTGTGTATCATTGTCTTCCCTTATACATACAAGTTACTCTCTTACCATAACAAGTAGAACGGCTGAGTCTAAGGTTTAACTTTAACCTTTTGGTGACCAGACTCCAAAATGTCCTTTTCCAATTTCTATGGCCACAAATGGTGTATGAAAGTAGTCATTTCCTCTTACCCTCACCAACCCAGAGTTACTCACTCTTCAGTGAAGCACTTGGTACCCCACTGTTGGTTTAATTTACATTTCCCTGATTACTACTGATGTTGAGGACCTTTTCATATGTTTATGGGCTGTTAGGAATTCTTGTTCTATGAATTGTTTATCTTTATTCTTCTTGCTGATTTGTTTGGATTGTTTATGTAGTATGGATATTAATTCTGTGTTGCAATCATACGAGTTGAAAACATTTTCTCTCACTCTGCAATTTGCCTTTTAGCTTGCCATAACATATTTTATTTTATATATATATATATATACACACACATACATACATACATACATACATATATATATATTATTACATGAAAACATTTTTTTCTTTTTAGCTTCTGGGTTTTATGTTTTACAATGAAATTTTTCTTTAATCCAATCTTGAAGAATTTTCTCCCATGTTTTGTTCAAATACTTTACAGTTTGGCTTTAGGTTCAGCCAAGAATCTGAGCTTTCTTATTTGGTATAATGTAGGTAGGAATCAAATGTGTCTTCCTACATGATGTAATGGAGTCAAAATTCTCCAGTTCATTTTCCAGCTCTACCATTTGCTGGTAGTTCAGAATGACTAGCCTCTTCTGTGCCTCAGTTTTATTATCACAAAGTGTGAATAACACTTTTATCTGTCTCATAGGATTGTGGGACTGATAAAATGAATTATTACATGAAAAACACTTAGAATAGTGTCTGGCATATTGTAAACTCTTCTTAATATATGCTAACCACAACAAGAATTCCCCAAACAAAACAACAACAGCAACAAAACAAATCTAAACTCTCCTCTAGTGAATTGATACATCACATTTACTATAATTTATATACATAAATGGGCCTGCTTTTGGATTCTATTCAGTTTTATTGACCTAATTGTGCCACTTTCCTTTGTTTTACTTACTATAACTTTGAGATATATTTGGCGTCTGGAAGGGCACATGCCTCTCATTGTTTGATATGGTTTGGCTGTGTCCTCACCCAAAATCTCATCTTGAATTGTAATCCCCGTAATCCTCATAAGGCCCACGTGCATCCCCATAATCCCTGGGGCAGGACCAGGTGGAGGTAATTGGATCATGGAGGCAGTTTCCTCCATGCTTTTCTGGTGATAATCAGTGAGTCTCACGAGATCTGATGTTTTTGTAAGCATCTGGCATTTCCCCTGCTTGCACTCACTCCTCTGTCCTGCCGCCTTGTGAAGAAGGAACCTGCTTCTCCTTTGCCTTCTGCCAGGATCGTAAGTTTCCAGAGGCCACCCCAGCAATGTGAAACTGTGAATCAACAAACCTCTTTCCTTTATAAATTACCCAGCCTTGGATATTTCTTCATAGCAGTGTGAGAACAGACTAATACACTATTCTTTTTCTAAAAAAATTATCCTCCTCATGTTTTTTCTACAGATGAATTTTAAAATGATCTTTTTAAGTTCTATAAGAAACATCTTGCTGACTTCAATAAAAAGACTTAGGTTCCATAGAAATTTATTTAGGATTGTACTTATATGTATAAATTACTTTAGGGAGAATTAATATTTTTATAATATTGAATTTTCCTGGAAGATGGGTTAACATGTGACACATTGTTCCAAAAATTTGTCTTATTTTATGTTCCTCAGCAAAATGTTAGCATTTTCTTCATATCTTGCTTCTGATTGTAAAGTGGCTGAAAAATTCTAGATGTTGTTACTGTTAGTCAGACATAGGAGATTGGGAGAGTCTTGTTGTGTCTTAGCAATTTTGACTTGGTCAAGTTCCCATCTCTGAATTAATTCCCATAACTAGAAGAAAGTATGTATCCACAACTGCTTTAAACTTAATTCATGTCCCTGCCCTACCCACCCTGCTGCCGGAACTCCTGGGCAATAGGGAAATTACCTAAGAAGGCAGAATAAATGGAAATATCAATTATTCCAATTTGGGGGTATACTTTTCTCCTATATTGATATTTGGTTTGATTTCTTTTACTATTAATTAATTTTTTTTTGCTAGTTTCTTAAGTATTTTCCTCAGGAAGAATTTCTACACTGTATACTTTCTGAATACTTGCATGTCTGAGAGTGTCTCTTGTTTCCTTATTCACAAAATAACAAAATGTTTAAAATATTCCACTGTTGGCTGGGCACAGTGGCTATGCCTATAATCCCAGCACCTTGGGAGGCCGAGGCGGGCAGATCACGAGGTCAGGAGATTGAGACCATCTTGGCCAACAAGGTGAAACCCCATCCGTACTAAAATACAAAAATTAACGGGGCTTGGTGGTGTGTGCCTGTAGTCCCAGCTACTCGGGAGGCTGAGGTGGGGAAATTGCTTGAACCTGGGAGGTGGTGGTTGCAGTGAGTTGAGATCTTGCCACTGCACTCCAGCCTGGTGACAGCAAGACTCCATCTCAAAAAAAAAAAAAAAAAAAAAAATTCCACTGTCTTCTTTTATTTTTGTGTAGTAAATGAGAAATTTGATGCCTGCTTGATTTTCTTTTACCTCTCTTTCTTTGGTTCTCTCTTGCCCTTTCACCTTCCACCATGGGATGATACAGCATGAAGGCCTTCATCAAATAGGCACCTTTTGATTTTGGACCTCCCAGACTCCAGAACTGTAAGAAATAAGTCTCTGTTCTTTATAAATTACCCAGTCCCTAGTATTCTGTCGTGGCAGCACAAAATGGACTAAGACAGTCGGCTTCCCTGAAATAACCAAGCCTCGTTTATTTTTCTATGTTAATCTGTGCAAGTTGAGGTTATTATACTCAGCATCTTGGGAAGTGCTGTACTGGCAAACAATGGGGACAAAGAAAGCAGTTAATTTTCCAAATAGCTGGATTCTTTCCAGTAGTCCTTTTCTAGGCCTGAGGAGCAAGAGGGCTGGGAAAGTTTTTCTGTGAACTGAGTGGCTCCTGTGACCAATCTTTTGATAGCCTCAAGATTGAAGTGCTCTGCCACATACTTTGCCAGAGAAGGCTACCTTCCTTTCCATCTGATTCACATGTGTCGTGGAGATTCCTATAAGTTGTATGTTGTGATTGCGAGCAGCTCCTTAGATGTTTGCAGTGTTTCCTTCAGGCTTAAAAAGTATCCTGCATGTCCTCCTGCCTCCTCCCCAATCGCACTACAGGCCTCCTAGTGCGTGAGTCACCTCAGCTCTACATTGGCTAAGGAAAGAAGCAACGTATTGAGGCCACTGTCTTCTGAGAATTACCTCTGATTTATCTTTAATTTTTTATTTGTTTCTGAATTAGTCCATTTTCATGCTGCTGATAAAGGCATACCCAAGACTGAGCAATTTACAAAAGAAAGATTTAATTGGGCTTACAGTTTCATGTGGCTGGAGAAGCCTCACAATCATGGTGGAAGACAAGGGGGAGCAAATAATATCTTACTGGATGGCAGCAGGCAAAAAGAGAGGGAGCTTATGCAGGGAAATGCCTCTTTTTAAAACCATCAGATCGTGTGAGCCTTATTCACTATCACGAGAACAGCATGGGAAAGACCTGCCACTATGATCCAATTACCATCCACCAGGTACAACACATGGGAATTCGAGATGAGATCGGGGTGGGGACATACCCAAACCATATCACTGTGCCCTTGGCCCCTCCCAAATCTCACATCCTCACATTTCAAAACCAATCATGCCTTCCCAACAGTCCCCTAAAGTCTTAACTAATTTCAGCATTAACTCAAAAGTTCACAGACCAAAGTCTCATCAGAGACAAGGCAAGTTCCTTCCGTTGATGAGCCTGTAATATCAAAAGCAAGTAAGTTACTTACTAGATACAATGGGGGCACAGGCATTGGGTAGATAAAGCCATTCCAAATGGGAGAAACTGGTCAAAACAAAGGGGCTATAGGCCCATGCAAGTCTGAAATCCAGTGGAGCAGTCAAATATTAAAGTTCCAGAATGATCTGCTTTGACTCCATGTCTCACATCCAAGTCACGCTGATGCAAGAGGTAGGTTTCTATGGGGAAGCTCAACCCTGTGGCTTCAAAGAGTACACCCTTCCTTCTCACTGTCTTCACAGGCTGGCATTGAATGTCTATGGCTTTTCCAGGTACACAATGCAAGCTGTTGGTGAATCTACCATTCTGGGGTTTGGAGGCCGGTGGCCCTCTCCTCACAGCTCCACTAGGTGGTTCTAGTCCCCAGTAGGGACTCTGTGTGGGAGTTTTGACCCCACATTCCCCTTCTGCACTGCCCTAGCAGAGGTTCTCCATAAGGGCCTCACCTGAAATCTAGGCAGAGGTTCCCAAACCCCAATTCTTGACATCTGTGCACTCACAGGCTCAACACCACATGAAGGCTGCCAAGGCTTAGGATTTCACCCTCTGAAGCCATGGCCTAGGCTCTACATTGGCCCATTTCAGCATGGCTGGAGCATCCGGGACATAGGGCACCAAGTCCCTAGGTTACACACAGCTCAGAGACCCTGGACACAGCCCATGAAACCACTTTTTCCTCCTAGGTCTCTGGGCCTGTGATGGGAGGAGCTGCCGTAAAAACCTCTAACATGCCTTGGAGAAATTTTTCTCATTGTCTTGGTGATTAACATTCGGCTCCTTGCTACTTATGCAAGTTTTTGCAGCCACCTTGAATTCCTCCTCAGGAAATGAGATTTTCTTTTTTATCACATTGTCAGGTTGCAAATTTTCTAAACTTTTATGCTCTGCTTCCCTTATAAAACTGAATGCATTTAACAGTACCCAAGTCAAATCTTGAGTGCTTTGCTGCTCAGAAATTTATTCTGCCAGATAAAGCATCTCTCTCAAGTTGAA